CATGCACACATACGGGACACACACGTGCAGGCTCACACGCACACACGCACACCCGCTACCCACATGCGATCCGGGTGCCAGCCTGAGCTAAGAGAGGGGTGGGAGTGGCGGGGGGTGGGTCACAATCAGAAACGTGAACGGTGGCGATGGCTGCTGTAGAAAGATGCATAATTTTGCGTTATCCCTCACAGTGATGGGTTCTCTAAAGATCTTGCTTCTCCCTCCTCCTCCTCCTCCTCCTTTCTTCTTCCTCGGTCGCCGAGAGCTCTTCCGCCCCTTCGAGACCCACGCCGCTTGCTCCCCCCCTTTTTCTCTCGCTCTCGGCCTCTGGCCCCCGCAGGGGGAGGCGAGCTGCACTGTGTTCTTCCTACATCCTCCACCACAGCCAGCCCAGGGCAGAGAGGAGGGCCAGGGGTCCGGGGGGCCTCGGGGCTGAGTTCTCCACGGAGCCTGGGCCTGGGGGAGAGAGAGAGAGAGAGGGTCACGGGAGGCGGCCTGGGAGGAGGAGGCCCTGCATGTCTCTCCCAAGTCCCCGAGGGTCTACTTTGAGCCTTTCTGAGACTTGCACTCCATGTGCCTGCTCTTTGGATTTTGTTTGGTTTTGTATTGTTTTACATTGATTTTAGAGAGAGGAAGGGAGAGAGAGAAACAGAAACACGAATCGGTTGCCTTTCTGTGCCCTTTTTGAGCTTTCTGAGCCTTGCATTCCGTGTGACTGCTCTTCGAATTTTGCTTGGTTTTGTATTGTTTTAAATTGATTTTAGAGAGAGAGTAAGGGAGAGGGAGAGAGAAACATCCATGTGAGAGAGAAACACGAATCGGTTGCCTTCCTTCTGTGCCCTGACCGGGGATGGACCCACAATCTGGGCAGGTGCCTTGACTGGAAATGGAACCAGGGACCCTTGGGTGCATGGGAGGATGTTTCACCAACTTAGCCACCCGGCCAGGGTGCTCTTCTGTGTTGAGTCTCAGTATCTCTTGGAGCATTTGGCTGTCTCTCTTATTTCCCCGTTTTTCTCACATCTCCCCCTCTTTTTCGTCAGCCTGGGGCCCTCCGTGTCTGTCTTTCGGTCACACAGTTTCCGTCTATCCGGAACCGCCACCAGGCATCGTACAGGCAGCTCGTCTGAAACTGCCCTCTTGACCTCTGTCCCCCTAGACTGGCCGGCTCCTGCCCCAGCCCCCACGACCTCTCCATTTCAATGCTTCACGGCTACCTCCCACCACCCAGAGGCTCAAGCCAACTTTGGAATCACCTGGCTTCTACTTCCCGCTTCCCTCCACTTCCAAAAACATCTCCCTGATGGAGACTTTTGCCACCTCTCTCTCCCCCCACAGCTCCAAGGATTTCTGCAGTAGCCTCCTGTCTGCTCTCCTTGCCTCCATTTTCACCCCTCCCCCAGCCCATTCCTGGAATAGCAGTCAATGTGATTCATTTGAGAAGCTTCAGCCACATGCCACCCTCCTGCTTAACAGCCTCCAGCAGCTTCGCCCTGAAGTAGAATAAAACCCGAAATCTTGACCATGGCCCAGGAGCCTGGCTCCCCCTTCCTCTGTAGCCCCAGGTCCCGAGATCACCCCACTCAGGTCAGGCTGGCCTCCTGCTGCGCCTCTTTGCAAGCGCTGTTCCCTCACCTGCAAAGCCCTTCCCGCAGACCCGGGCACAGCTGGCTGCTGCTTACCACTCGGGTCTCAGTTCAAAGGTTACCCCCCTTGCCCTAGCTGGTTTGGCTCAGTGGATAGAGCATCAGTCTGCGGATGGACAGAAGGGTCCCAGGTTGGATTCCGGTCAAGGGCACCTGCCCAGGTTGCAGGCTCCTCCCCGGCCTGGGCCCTGGTTGGGGCTCCTGCAGGAGGCAACCAATCGATGTGTCTCTCTCACCTTGATATTTCTCTGTCTTTCCCTCTCCCTTCCACTCCCTCTAAAGAAATCAATGGAAAAATATCCTTGGGTGAGGATTTAAAAAAAAAAAAAAGTTACCCCCCTCCAGGAAGCTTCCTCTGATGAGTTCTCTAATGCTACCATCCCCAATCCTGTTATTTTTGGCTTAGTTATGTGTATGTGCGTTTGCTTTTCATTTTATTGATGTGTCTACTTGTTTATTGCTTTTCTGCTACTACTAGACCATAAATTCTGCGAGCCCCTACATCTTGTCTCCCACGCACTGCTGTGCCGCAGCGCCCAACGCCCAGAGAATCGATCATCATTGAAGGGAAAGGTTTCTTGTTTGGTTATCTTGCTGGAGTCCCAGCGTCCTTCTCTTCTCGAAGATCTGAGTGAGTCTGGGGC